AACCAAACCAAAAAAAAAAAAAAAAAAAGACTTAGTCATGGGCTAGAGAGATGGTTCAGTGGTTAAGAGCACTGACTGCTCTTCCAGAGGTCCTGGGTTCAATTCCCACCAACCACATGGTGGCTCACAACCATCCGTAATGGGATCCGATGCCCCCTTCTGGTGTGTCTGAAGAGAGCAGTGGTGAATACATAAAATAAATAAATAAATAAATAAATAAATAAATCTTAAAAAAAAGACTTATTCACATTTAACATGGCATTTGAAACAGTCTGCGTTCCTTGCTGTATTAGACCCTGCCTGCAACTTATTTTATTCACTCTATTTTTAATATTTAGGTCATTTCTAGCTTAGGTCTTTTTTGGATGAAGTTCCTGTAAGCATCTTCTCGGGTTTTTGGTGGGTGTACATACACTTATTTCTCTCATGGGGAGTAGATCTTGTCTAGGAGGTGAAGCTCTAGGCTGGAAATTGCAGCTGCTAGTAAAGGACTCCTGGGCCTGACATGATACTCTAAGGGGTGTTTTTTTGGGGGGACATGTTTTTGTTTGTTTGGGTTTTTTTGTACTTCTCTCACTGTTGTGGATCAAACCCAGGACCTTACTCCAGTCAGTGACATGCCCTACTACTGAAATATACCCTTGGCCAATAAGTCAAGTTCTGACTGAGGCTCTGGGCCATTCCAATACTAACAGCTTGATTTAGCAGGAAGCAGGGAGAGGCTCTGACCCCGGACCCCGGACCTCGGACCTCGGACTCCAGACCCTGGACCCCGAGCACTTATGAGATACTAATTTGTGAGTTCTGTTCCACCGAGGTTCTGGGAGTTCCTGAAGGAGCAACCAGTGAAGAAATACATCAGAGTTACCGGGACCTGGTGAAGGTCTGGCATCCAGACCACAACCGGCACCGGACAGAGGAGGCCCAGCGGCACTTCCTGGAGATCCAGGCTGCGTATGAAGTCTTGAGTCAGCCCAAGAAGCCCAGAGCATCCTGGAGGTGAAAAGCAATCCCTCAAGGATGGGCTCAATCTTGTCAGCACCATTCTCAAAACCCAGGACCCGACAGTCTTAAAGACACTGCTCGCAGTAGAGGCAAGGAAAAACTTTAAAGGGACGAGAAAGCATGCGGTAGAAAATACATTCATGTGTTGAATCTCTAAGTTCTTGGCTACTGTCTCCTTGATTGTACTTTCTCAAGACCGCAGAGTAAAAGGAGAATTATTTATTTATTTTTCTAAAAAAAAAAGATTTATTTATTTATCTCATGTATGTGAGTACACTGTTGCTGTCTTCAGACATACCAGAAGAGGGCACCAGATCCCTATTTCAGATGGTTGTGAGCCACCATGTGGTTGGTGGGAATTGAACTCAGGACCTCTGGAAGAGCAGTCGGTGCTCTTAACCACTGAGCCATCTCTCCAGCCCTAAAAGGAGTATTATAAAATCAATAAAGTACCTTTCAAAGACTACACCACGAAATCCTACCCCAGGGTACTGATGTATGAAGATGTCATTTAACTCCTGTAATTGTCTACAGCACTGAGTTAGGAGGCTGCAGGAAAACATGAAGATTCTGATATTTCATATGCTGTTCCATGGCAAGAGGATTTCAGCAGGTGAGACAGGGGGTTAAATGTCAAAGTTTCTGGTCTTATACTTAAGAAATAAAGGCAGAGAGAGAGAGAGAGAGAGAGAGAGAGAGAGAGAGAGAGAGAGAAGAAGAAGAAGAAGAAGAAGAAGAAGAAGAAGAAGAAGAAGAAGAAGAAGAAGAAAGAAGAGGAGGAGGAGGAGGAAGAGGAAGAAGGGGAGGAGGAGGAGAGAGAGAAGAAGGAAGAGGAGGAGGAGGAAGAGGAAGAAGAGGAGGAGGAGAGAGAGAGAGAGAGGGGAAGAAAGATCAGGCTGGCCAATGGATAGGTCTGTGAGGGCTTTTCTTAACTAGGCTAATAAACTGGGGTAGGAAATCCACCTTGACTGCAGGCACCACCACCTTCATGGACTGGACCAGGACTGAATGAGAGGAGAAACACTGGCACACTGGCATGCATTCATTCAGGGCTCTCTGCTCCTGATCATGTGACCAGTGCCCTGGAGGTCTTGCCTTGACTGCCCAGACAATGATGGACTGTGCTTGACCTGTAAGTCAGGATGAATCCTTTTCTCTTAAGCTGTTTTTGTCAGGGTCTTTTATCACGGCAACAGGAAATGACAGGGAGGCAGACCTCATGGGAAGATTCATGATTTTTATATCCCATGTGTCTTTAAGGCAAGCTGGGGGAACCCCGGGGGAAATAGCAGTCTGTGTAGTTCAAGGAAGCCTTATTTAATTCTAGCTAGACATGGAAAAGGAGACCAGGATGTCTCACTTTGCCGAGGAAAGCTAAAAACCAGAAACCTGTTAAAATTACATACCATTATTTGCTGGTATTCTTCCATCTTCTTTTCTCCTGGATGTTAACGCTGAGTAGTGTATACCATGTTTTAAGCTGGAGATATGTCCTGACAGCACTTGCTTAGCATGTATGAGAGAGAGAGAGAGAGAGAGAGAGAGAGAGAGAGAGAGAGAGACTGACTCCAGGACCAAGTGAGCTGAGCTCAGTGATACTGACCTCCTCAGACTGAAGGGGTTTTGTTTTGTTTGTTGTTTTTTGTTTGTTTGTTTTGATTTGCTTTGTTTTTGACAAGGTCTTACTTATACTATAATCCAGGCTCGCTTGAAACTCATTATTTAGCCCAGGCTAGCCCTAGCCTCAGATTTTCTCTCTCTCTCTCTCTCTCTCTCTCTCTCTGTCTCTGTGTGTGTGTGTGTGTGTGTGTGTGTGTGGTGTGTGCAGGTGTGTGTGTATGCACGTGTGCCTGTGTATGTGTGTTTGTGTCTTTAAAATAGTGATGGCCAAAATACCCCTGAGACACTGAGAATCAATCGGTACTTACTTGGTCCTTGAGGCTGGGTACCACAATAGTTGTAGTCTCAGAATAGCCGTCTTTTACTGGGGGGCAACAACCCACAGTTGCTTAATCCACAAGACAGGATGCTTCAGCCTTCCCAGTCTGGCAGGAAGAGCAAAGTAAGTTCCTGGAGAGATGCTGGTCCTTATTCCACAGTGAAAGCTTTGGAACATAGGTCTGCTGTCTGCAGTGATCCCCATCTGCAGCAGGACGGGCAAACTACTAACTCAGCATGGAGAGGGAGGCCAAGCAGAGGTGACCTCCCTTCTGCCACGACGCCCTTCTCTTTAGGCCGCTACCAGAAGAAGGAGCAGGCCCACACCAGGGCTTTCCTACACCAATCAAGGGCAATCAGGACACTTCAGGTGAGACACCATACTCAGGTGGCATGCTCTAATTTGTGACAAGTTAATATCGAAACCAACCACAGCACGAGATTGTGCCCTTTCTCGTGTTTTCGTTAAATAAGTCCCGCCTGCAAGGAGAAGATAAAAGAACACATTGCTTCTTTTTGTTTTTTTGTTTTGTTTTTGTTTTTTTGTTTTTTTCAAGGCAGGGTTTCTCTGTGTAGCCCTGGCTGTCCTGGAACTCACACTGTAGACCAGGCTGGCCTCAAACTTAGAAATCCACCTGCCTCTGCCTCCCAAGTGCTGGGATTAAAGGCGTGTGCCACCACTGCCCGGCAACACACTGCTTCTGAATTTTTTTTTTTTTAATCAGTGTTCTAAGATCATTCAGTTTCCCCAAAGAATAGTCTGCTATTGTTTGAGTTCTGGGCCCACTGATTCACCTAGAATCATGTCCTGCTCTTGGAACTGTCACATCTCCATTTGTCCCCTCCTCCCATGAAGAAGGGCATATGAGCATCTGGACCTCACTGGGTGATGTGGTAACCATTTGCCTATGGTTCTCCTCATCCATGTTCATATGTGTGTGTATATTCCTCCTGCAAATACATCTATTGTCGGTTTATTCTAGCCAAACTTCAGCATCTTCCCAAGGTTGTCAGGGCTGGTGGTATGAGGCACTTCACAACAGCTGAGATGCTGAGGTAGAGACATCACTTTGGGCCAGATGGGAGAACCTGTCAAAAAGCAAGCAGCAACAACAATTGTAGACAATTTCTTTTAGTATTTGCACATTTAAAAAGCAAACAAACAAAACAAAAAAACCACCTTCACTGGGTAGTGGTGACTCATGATTTTGAAGCAGAGGCAGGTAGATCTCTGAGTTCAAGGCCAGACTGGTCTACAGAAGGAGTTCTAGGACAGCCAGGACTACACAGAGAATCCCTGTCTCAAAAACAAACAAACAAACAAACAAACAAACAAAAACAAAAACCCCACTAACAAACCAAGTACCCCTCTCCCTGATTTTTATCTTGAAATTTTTAGTTTGTGTGCAGGCAACAAACAACTTGAAGGGGTCAGCTCTACCTTCCTCCATGGGGGTCCTGGGACTTCAGGCTTGGCAGCAGCTGTCCCACCAGCCCTATAAAGAATCTGTTTTTTTTTTTTTTTTTTTTTTTTTGTTGTTGTTGTTGTTGTTTTTGGTTTTTTTCTTCAGGGTTTCTCTGTGTAGCCCTGGCTGTCCTAGAACTCAGAAATCCATCTGCCTCTGCCTCCCAAGTGCTAGGATTAAAGGCGTGCGCCACCACTGCCCAGCAAGAATCTGGTTTTTAGCTGGACAGTCTACAGAGTGAGTTCCAGGACAGCCAGGGCTACACAGAGAAACCCTGTCTCGAAAAACCAAAAAAAAAAAAAAAGACAGAATCTGGTTTTTTGGGTTTTTTTCTGGGAGGGGAGAGATGGCTTAGTGGTTAAGAGCACTGGCTGTTCTTACAGAGGATCTGGTTCTCTTCCCTGTATTCACATGGCAGCATGGGAGCTAGTAACTGTCCTTGGCTCTGGTTCCAGGGGATCCATCACCCACTTCTGGTCTCCTTGGGCAACAAGCACACACACATACATACATACATACATACATACATACATTTATTTATTTATTTATTTATTTTTGAGGCAGGGTCTCTTCATAGCCATGGCTGTCCTGGAACTCACTGTGCAGACTAGGCTGGCCTTTGCATCCTGGGTACAGGGATGTAAACTTATGCACCACTGTCTGAATTTACAAATCAAAAGTTCATAGACTGTGTATTGGAAGGGAATTGGGAGAGTTCCAGGCCCAATATCACATATTACAGGATCTAAAGAATTGCTTACTTCCTGTGTGACCATTTTCACTTTTGCTTGAGTTGGAGATCCCTTCTCTTTTCCCACTTTGGGATGTGTGTGTGTGGGGTGTGTGTGTGTGTGTGTGTGCGCGCGCGCGCGTGTGTGGTCTGGAAACTGAACTGTGAGTTGAATCCAGAGCCTCTTGGGTGTTAGGCCAGAGTTTATCTCAGAACTGGATATTATTGCCATGAGTTTTGCTACACCACTCTGGCTTCCAGTGGATCACAGGTGTGTAACCCACCCAGGAACTATCTTTGGATCTGCAAATGAAAGACACACCCACATTAGCTTATTTTTAAAAGCCTTGGCTACCTCAAAAGCTGAGCACTCCTAAACCTTCCCCTGTTACCCCAGGCCTAAGTGGGGAAGTGGCCAGTGCCCACCCATTCAAATTCTCCCATGGCTGGTTGGCTTTATCTCCTGCCACTCCTGCAGCCCATCCCTCTACCACCACCCCCCCAAGTCATGGCGATTCCCTCTTCTTCTCTGCATCCTACCCAAACAACTCTAAGTGTCCTGCCCATGCCCAGCCATTGGCCATTGACATTTCTATTGATCAATCAAAAACCAACTGGGGACAAGAATCTTCAGCATCTGGACTCGCAGATTCCCTCTTGAATCAAAGCATTAGAACCCATCTCCAACAAGATATAGTCAGCCCTTCCTTACCTTTTATTTCGAGACAAGGTCTTGCTAAATTGCCTGGTTGTCCTAGACTCACTCTATAGCCCAGACACAATTTGAAATTCTGATCCTCCTGCATCGGTTTCTCAAAAAGGTGTGTTACAGGCTTGGACCAGCAAGCTCGGTGGAGTTATTTAATGATTTTGTGGAGCTGGTGATGTGTTTATAAAAAGATAAAGAGATATAGGATATGTCCTGTGGGTATGTGGAGAGGTATGGGGGAAGGGGATGTTTCAGCGGGCCCATGCTGAGGCATCTCTTCCCCCTGAGGGACCAGCCACACGATGGTATATTAT